TTTTTATTAAAAATCAAATATAGTTCTATTGTATAATTGTTTGACTAAAAACATGAATACGATTAATAAAAAGATAATTAATCATATTTTATAACATCTTAATATTATTTGTATATTAACTATTTTGATTACAATGTTGTAGAACAATAAAATTATATTTTAAAATTATATTTATAAAACTAACATTTTTAAAATTAAATTATAAAAAAACATTTACCTGCGCGTCCGTACAGGTTACATCGTAGTTAACTTTAATTTAGAAGCTTATTAGATTTATCTTTTTGATTTAGAGAAAATAGGTCATTTCTATTTTAGAATAATGTTAAGTCTTCTGACTATAACTCTATAAATATGTATGCTTGGCAAAGCAAAAAAATTAATTCCATCAATTGAAAGCAATAGAAAAATTTCTCGAGCAGAATTGAAGAACAATAAATCTTCTTTTCTTGTTTCTCTGTTTCTTTGTTCTTTGGTTTTTTTGTTAAACAGTTTCTTAAACCATGGATTCCCCAAATAACAAGAAGACTAAAGAAGAAACAGAAGTGGAGAAGAGCAGAAATCTTAATGAAGAAGATCAGTTCACAACTCCTAAAAAAGAGCAATCCAGGATTTCACCACCGCTAGAGTGTCCATCGGCTCCTAAAGCACCTGAGCGTCGAATATCATTCTTTAATGGCGAGGATTAACACATTTTTTTTTCTTTTTTTGCTTAAATAATATTTAATGTTTTTTATGATATTTGGTTTTTTTTAATGCTATTAATGATATTTATATATCATATGATTCCACGTTGTTTTTTTTCATATATATTTTAGCCAAATAAGATATTTTTGGTACTTTATTTTGTTTGGATTGAGTAATTCAATATTCATACCACCAAAAACTCATCTTCATACATTGCTTTTTTCTTTTCTTTTTTGTTAATGTTTAAAATATGTTTATGCGAAAGAGTTGTTTCGGTCTCTAACTGCAATTCAGAGACGAATGAACATGAGCATATTCCTAACTGTTGCACTGAGTACAGCAAAATTCATCGTCAAAATTCATAATTAAAATATGTCAAATTGTCAACGTTTCTTCTCTTGATCTTTCCCAAACTTATTACATAAACGCACCTCTATTGGGTCTTTTTTGTTTTTAACAAGATCATGGGAGTTTATGGGATTTGGTGACAATATCAAACATGTCCCTGAGATCATCGAGAGCAATGTAATAATTAATAGGCGTGATCGTTGGTGGAATCTGGCCTGAATCTGGGAGTTCCGCAGACGATGGATTCGAACCACCAACGAAGAAATGGAAGAGCAATTGCGCGGGAGGGCACAACTTCACACGAAGGACGTAAAAATTCCTTGTGTCGCAAAAAAAGGATTACCTGTATCACAAGTTAGTTGCGCTTCTCGATTTTTTTACAGGTAAGTGAGGCGAGCACGGTACTCTATCGCGAGGTCACGGTTCACACAGGATGGCTCCTCGCTCACTCTCAGAGTTTTTTCTTTTCTGCATTCTCTTCTTGATTTTTTTTGTGAAAACTGATAAGATCTTTCTCCAATGAAGTAAAGCGATAGTCTTTTTTGTGGTAAGGGATAATATTAATTTGTAGTTATACAATTAAATTTAACAAAAAAAATGTGGAATCTTTTCTTAGTTTGTTTTTTATTTTATTTTAGATAAGAATCCAACTTGATGACTAACTGTTTTTTTTTTAATTAAATTAATGTGATTATCCTAAACATGACAAAAAAACCTTATTAATTAAGATCAAAGTCCAAAACTGTTTCTACTTGTTCCCTGTTTGTTCCTAATCCTTCTTAAAACTCTCTCTTTTGTCTTAAATTTTTGATCAACGAAGCAGAAATATCTCTTTCAAGCTTCTATTATAGAGACAGAAATTAAAGAAGCAATTAGAAGAAGAAGACGAAAACAGAGAGGGAGCAGAATTAAAGAAAATAAATCTTATTTTCTTGATAAACAGTTCCTTAAGCCATGGACTTCCCGGGAAAAGGAGTGCAGACTTTAGCGTGTGAGACAAGTAACAAGAAGAGTAAAGAAGAAAACAAAGAGGAAACAGAATTGGAGAAGAGTAGAAATCTTAATGAAGAGCAACTGATCAAGATTTTGTCGCCAATTAAGTGTCTGGTGGTGTGTTCGACCGCGAAGATTGAGAAGCCGGAGATGGAAGAGGAGGAAGGGTTCACGACCCCTAAAGCAGAGCAATTCAGGATTCCACCACCACAAGAGTGTCCGCCTGCTCCCAAACCTAACCGGCTGAGATCATTCTTTACTGGCGGGAATTAACAATTTATTTATTTTTCTTATTTAAAACTTTTATGATATTTTTTTTTCCTTTTGAAAGCATAAGATGGGAATAGTCTCCCAATGAAAACCCTCTTTTGTCAACAATGAGAACACTTATATCTTCACTTAATCATAGATTTAAAATAAGACAAGAAAAATATCCATGTTTTATCAACTCACTGATTAAGGAGTAGGTTTATTCTCTGCGTTATAAACATTGTGTCATTTAGAGGTAAATAGGAAAATAGGACAATGGTTTAAGAAAATGGAGAACAACACAAACCATCAAAAGGAATGAAGATTTTGGACCAATTTTTTTTATTCAGATCGGATGTGACTTTACAGCACCGTGGTTGTAAAAATGTTTCAGTTTCACATTAAAATGATATTAGATATTTTTAATCAACATATGAATAGTGAAAAATTCGTTCGTTTTCTTAACAAAGTATTAGTCACTTAAAAATTTGATTTGATATGAAGCTTGGGATGGGAAGTACACTGGCGACGCTATGTGGGCAAGCAACTAGAGATGATGGGAATATATTTGCAGAGGTCTTGGACCATCCTCAACTCTTGCGCCCTTATTCTTTGCCTTTTGTACGTTTTTGCCACTCCTCTTTTGAGTCTTCTCGGACAGTCACCGGAGATCTCTAAAGCCGCCGGAAAATTCTCCCTCTGGATGATCCCTCAGCTCTTTGCTTATGCCGTCAACTTTGCCACCGCCAAGTTCTTGCAGGTAACAATAAGTCAATAATCAATTTACTTATAAAATATTCAGCTCGTTTAGTTAGGATATTGTTTATAACTTGGCATGGACGTTACTATTTATTATAGGCACAGAGCAAAGTGACTGCAATGGCGGTTTTAGTAGCGACGGTGCTGTTTCAGCACGCTATATTGAGTTGGTTGCTGATGCTCAAACTAGGTTGGGGGATGGCCGGAAGAGCCGCCGGGCCCAACGTCTCGTGGTAGTTGATACGCAATGGCTCATCCATGGAGTGAGATAACGAGCATCCTTTTGGAATCAGATTCGGTACGCAATGGCTCATCCATGGGGTGACTCGGTTTTGTTGGTTTCTGCTTAGAGTTTTGGTACTTTATGGCGTTGATTTTTTTTGCCGGTTACCTCGAGACCCTCAAGTCTCTGTGGCTGCTCTTTCGATACGGTGAGTTCAATTAAAGTGAAGCTTTTTGTTTCAAGGTAATAACAGAAGCAAAGAGAAGAAGTGTTGGGATAAGCTTGTCTCATCTGATTGAAGAAGAAGAAACAATTGAGGAAGCAAGTGGTGAATCTAAGAATTGAAACTAAATAATTTACTCTGGTTTTTTCGGTTCTTGCTCTTTTGGTACCTTTCCTTATTAACTATTAAGTCATTCGTTCTTGCGGATTTTTGACAGTGTGTTCCATCTGAGGACAACGATCTTGCCTGCGGAAGAAGAGGTCATGGACAGTTTCAAGAAGTTCATGACTCAGTGTACGATAATAACTTTGGTTATTCCAGAATGTGATTACTTCTTCTTCTTCTTCTTCTTTTGATGACAACCTAATAAAAGGAAACTCTGCAATAAAATAGATAATTAACTTTAATCTAGAAGCTTATTAGATTTATCCTTTTTTAGTTTAGACTTTAGAGAGAATAGGCAATTTCCTTTTTAGAATAATGTTAAGTCTTTCAACTATAAGTACTGTATGTATGCTTGCAGAAGCAAAATTTTCATTCGATCAATTGAGAGCAATAAACAACTTTTCAGAATATTGAGAGAGAGCAGAACTGAAAAACAAGAAATCTTCTTTCTTGTTAAACAGTTTATTTCTTAAGCCATGGATTCTCCAAGTAACGAGAAGAGTACAGAAAAAACAGAAATAGAGAAGAGCAGAAATTTTAACGGAGAAGATCAATTCACAACACCAAAAAAAGAGCAATTCAGAATTTCACCGCCAAAAGAGTGTCCACCGGCTCCCAAAGCACCCAAGCTCCGGATATCATTTTTTAATAGCAAAGATTAACAATTTAATATTTTTTTTGCTTACATAATATTTAATGTTCTTTAATGATATTTAATATATTTTTTTCATATATCTTAATCAAATAGGATAATTTTGATAGTCTCAAAGTTGAGATTATAGACACTCAATAATAAATAGTACTCTACTTAGCAATTATGTTAATTGGATTGAGTTGTTTCATAATTCATACCACCAAAACTCTCCTCATACATTGTTTTTTTTTTTTTAAATTTCGTTTATGTGAAAGAGTTGTTTCGTCGGTCTCAAACAAATTCCAAATTAATGATGGAAATTTGTTATCGTTAAAATCCGTCTTATTTGTATAAATATCATTGTGGTTTAGTCATTGTCTAGCAACTGATTATAGTACTTAATTTTAATTGTTGAATGATAGATACCAAATGAGTTGAGCCAGTAAACTGGGTAAATAAAGTCGATTTTGTCACTAAAAAAGTTTGGAGAACACATAACAATAGTTAGACACTTTGTCGTCGTATACTCTCTAATCTCTCTCTAAACTTATGAAACAGTAGCGAAATTTTGAAAAGCCGTAACTAATATTCATACCTAACATATATACATAATCTATCAATAAAACTATTTATTTCTTATACTCTATTATAGACACATAAGTATATATGCATGTATGATGCCAAGAAGTAAGAAGTTACAATCTCTCTAACTCGCAAGCCTTATGGAAACTCTCAACGTTGGTGAAGATGTTTTCTCCTCAGTACAGGAACATCGAGAACATACCAAATCCGACACCGATATGCCTCCGATCACCGGCGGTCGAGACTTCCTCCGGCAGTTTGCGGTTGAGTCAAAGAAGCTGTGGTGGCTCGCGGGTCCTGCGATATTCACATCCTTCTGTCAGTACTCTCTAGGCGCCGTCACGCAGGTACTAGCCGGACACGTCAACACATTGGCTCTAGCTGCCGTCTCTATACAGAACTCCGTCATCGCCGGCTTCTCTGTGGGCATTATGGTAATTAATAAACTCAATTACGTAAATAAAACTTACGCTCAAATCAAATGCATGCTCTCGAAAAAGTGTAGCTACGAACAAAACTGAAAAATGATAGCAACATAAACCAGCAAAGGAATGGAGAGTTTGGACTTAGATATACAGCACCTTGATTGTAAATATCTTTCAATTTCACATTAGAATATCTTCTCTCTTTTTAATCAACATATGAATAGTGAGAAATTCGTTCGTTTTATCTTATAGTCGCATAAAAATTTAATTTGGTATGAAGCTTGGGATGGGAAGTGCACTGGCGACGCTATGTGGGCAAGCATACGGAGCAGGGCAACTAGAGATGATGGGAATATATTTGCAGAGGTCTTGGATCATACTCAACTCTTGTGCCCTTATTCTTTGCCTTTTGTACGTTTTTGCCACTCCACTTTTGAGTCTCCTCGGACAGTCACCGGAGATCTCTAAAGCCGCCGGAAAATTCTCCCTCTGGATGATCCCTCAGCTCTTCGCTTATGCCGTCAACTTCGCCACCGCCAAGTTCTTGCAGGTAAGTCAATAATCAATTGACTTAAAAAGATTCGGCTTGTTTAGTTAGGAGATTGTTTAATTATAACTTGGCATGGACGTTATTGATTGTTGAAGGCACAGAGCAAAGTGATTGCCATGGCGGTTATAGCAGCGACGGTGCTGTTTCAGCACGCTATACTGAGTTGGTTGCTGATGCTGAAACTAGGTTGGGGAATGGCCGGAGGAGCCGCCGTGCTCAACGTCTCGTGGTGGTTGATAGATGGAGCTCAAATAGTTTACATCTGTGGAGGTTCTTGTGGCAGAGCTTGGTCAGGGCTCTCATGGAAAGCTTTCAAGAACCTCAGAGGATTTGCAAGACTCTCTCTTGCCTCTGCGGTCATGGTTTGGTTAGATATCGAAATCCCTTTTTGGAATCAGATCCGGTACACTCAATGGCTCATCGATGGAGTGACTTGGTTTTGTTGGTTTCAGCTTAGAGGTTTGGTACTTCATGGCGTTGATTTTGTTTGCCGGTTACCTCAAGAACCCTCAAGTCTCTGTGGCTGCTCTTTCGATCTGGTGAGTTCAATTTAAGTGAAGCTTGTTGTTTCAAGGTAATAACAGATTTTAACTGTTTGGTTTACAGCATGAACATATTGGGGTGGCCTATCATGGTGGCGTTTGGCTTCAATGCAGCTGTGAGGTACATCCCAAAGCACTAATTGTATACAAAGAAAAGCTTAATGGTATAGAATGAAGCAAATGTGTTGTATGTGCAGTGTAAGAGTGTCGAATGAGCTTGGAGCTGAACACCCAAGAAGGGCGAAGTTCTTATTGATAGTGGCTATGATAACTTCAATATCGAGTGGAGTTGTGATCTCAATGACTCTCATCGTGTTACGAGACAAGTATCCAGCGATGTTCTCTGATGATGAAGAAGTGAGAGGACTCGTGAAACAGCTCACTCCGTTGCTGGCTATAACCATTGTCATCAACAACATTCAGCCTGTTCTTTCTGGTAACTCTCTTGCAATATTCTACACTATGATAATTTTTTTGAAGGCCCATTGTGTTTATTATGTTATTGTCGTTTTGACGATACATGGAACAAAAGGTGTAGCTGTTGGAGCTGGATGGCAAGGGATCGTTGCATATGTGAACGTTGGGTGTTACTATCTCTGTGGAATACCTATTGGTCTTGTGCTAGGTTACAAGATGGAGCTTGGGGTAAAGGTAAATGCGTATAATCTTGAATTTAGAATGATGATGAAGAACGTTGGATCTTGATAAGTTTTGAAGTTGTGAAATGATAATAACAGGGGATATGGACTGGAATGCTAACAGGAACGGTTGTTCAGACATGTGTTCTGTTATGGATAATCTATCAGACCAACTGGGATAGAGACGTGAGGAGCATATTTCTTGTCTTTTAAGGATCGGTTTTAATGTTACGAAACTAAATAGCGTTCAAGAATGTTCAGGCTTCATTAGCAGAGGCTAGAATAAGGAAATAGGGAAGCGAAACAGATCGTGGAGATGAGATTGAGGAGATCAAATGTGAACAAAATGATTCTACAAATGGTGAAAACAATCAAAGGAAATGGCCGCTGAATAAGCCCAAGTCGATTCGTGTTTGAAAATGTATAATAACTTTGTTACAAGAATCTAAACAGGACGCGACATCGATGAGCTCGAGGTTTTAAACGAATAATGAAATCAATCGACGGAAACAAAGCATTTCATCTTCATCACGAAAAAAAAAACTGTGCTTTAAGAATCTGAACAGGATGAGACATTGATGAGTTTGAGATTTTATACGAATAATAACAAATGATCCCTAAAAACGTGCTGATTCGTCCTGTTACGAGTGAATAATCAATAAGAAGCAATCGAGAAATGCAAATGTAAATACCAAAACATGAACTCCAAAAGAGGAACATACTGTATAATCCAGTAATATTGATTAAAAGATCTCTCATTCCAAAAATCCAAAAAAGCAACAAACTTGAGTTCAACAAACAAGGACGATAGAATTAAAAAAGGGGAACACGAAACTTCGACCTAACCTAGGCAGTGAGAACGACGGCGCCACCAGCCTCTTTGATCTTCCTCTCGGCGGTCTTTGAAATGAGCATCGCCTTCACGACGAACGGCTTGTTCTCCGGCAAATGACCTTTACCCAACACCTTGAAGAACCCGTGCTGCGTGACGTCGATCATCGGGACGTTGTCCTTGGTGGATTTCGCCTTCACATCCTCGGGGACGAGAGACCAGAGCTTGTCGAGGTTCACGATGGGGCAGAAGAACTTGTTGCGGAGCTTGTGAAAGTATCGCATACCGACCTTTCCGAAGTAACCTGGATGGTACTTGTCGAAGAGGATACGGTGGTGATGCATACCTCCGGCGTTACCACGACCTCCGGGATGCTTGCGATGCTTTCCGACACGTCCATGACCGGCGCTGACGTGACCTCTCTTCTTCCTGTTCTTCTTCAACGCCGTCGCCATTTCCTCAGATCTAGGTTTTTTTTTTATGACAAGTGTAGAGAAAGGTTTTATATAGGGGGCCGAACGGCTAGGGTTTTCATAGAAGCAAAGAAGAGGTTTTATAAAGAGGACGAGAGGTTCACAAGAAAAGGTTTTATTTCTTTGGGCTTTTCTACTATTAATAAATATTGGGCCTTCTAGTGTTAACCTAGTGATACCACTGTACCACGTGAACAATTCAAACACAAAAAACAGTATTGACATCTCTCGTTCATATCAGAATTGTTTATGTAAAATGTAACAAGTTCATAACAGTTTTTAAGACTTTTGGTGCAACAATTTCTAAAACATCAATCAAATAAAAAATGCAAAATAAATGTGGGTATAGCACATGTGAATGTGGCATAACGTATGATAATGTACTTTGTGAAAAATATTCAATTTGGATAAGAATGATGTTTTGGTGGCCATAGGACTAAAATTGAGTTTGATGAAATGGAAAAAAATTTCTCTTAGCAAATAAATTTGGGTTTTGTTTTGTGCATTTAAACTGGGCTATAAGAAGCCCAAACTTTTAACCCTTAAGGGCCTAAAATAAAGCCCTGTTATTTCACTTACCAATCCGGGATTCTTCGGCCGTCTTGTCGACACTCTGTCACCGTCCCACCACGGCTTCTCCTTCTTCTTTCATAAACCCTAAAATCTCGCCGAACCCTAAATCCCTTACCTGGATTTCAACTTCACCGTGAAAGATGCAACACGATGAGGTCATATGGCAGGTTATCAGGCACAAGCACTGCAGTTATATGGCCAAGTATGTTCTTTTTTCTTACTCTCACTTGTCTCTTTGTGGAAGAAGATTTCTTGATGATTAATTAAATTTGCTTTTATCTACATGTAGAATCGAAACTGGAATCTTCTGCAGAAACCCTTATAATGTAACCGGAATCTGCAATCGAAGCTCATGCCCTCTTGCCAACAGCCGCTACGCCACCATCCGTGACGTCGATGGTATTTTCTTAAAATCCAAAAGACAATTTCTGTTTTTTGTTCGTGTCTTTCATATGATTTGCTCTATGTATCAAGACCAGAACTGTGGAAAAGATGTTTCTTTTGAATACAGTGGTGTGATCTCTTACAGTGGATTCTCTGTTTTGCTGTGTTACTCAGGAGTCTTTTATTTATATATGAAGACTATAGAGAGAGCCCACATGCCTAAGAACCTGTGGGAGAGAATTAAACTGCCTGTAAACTATGAGAAGGCTCTTGAGCTCATTGATAAGCACTTGGTGAGCTGAGATTTATCCATATATATATATTTGAGTTCTTCCTTCTTCTTCTTTCTCTTCTTTGAGCTATGTTGATGTATTAAGATACGGTGTTTTAAATTCCTTTTCTTTATTCGTGGCAGTTGTACTGGCCCAAGTTGTTGCAGCACAAGGTTAAACAAAGGCTGACCAAAATGACTCAAATGCGTATTCGTATGAGAAAACTTGAACTGAAAACAAGGTCTTGTTCCTCTTCTGATGTTTTTTTCTTGGAGTTTTGATATCTTGTTTGATTCACAAATGTCTAGATTTTTTTTTTTTTCTTTTTCTTGTTCTGATTACTTATATGTGGTGTTATTGTTTTCAAAATCACAGGGAGAAGATAATGACTGTCCCTACGATGAAGAAAACGAAGGAGGAGAGAAGAGAGGAGAAGGCTCTAAAAGCAGCGTTGTTGGATAAGGTCACATTTTTGTTTTTTTTTTTTGTGTTTTTGATTTTACTTTCATCAGCTTTAGCTCTTAGTTTCTCATGATAGTGCTGGTTCCTTTTTAACAGGCCATTGAAACCGAGTTGCTGGAACGTATGAACAAGGGCATTTACGATGGTATATACAATTACCCAGAGGCTCCGTGGAACAAAGTTCTTGATACTGAAAAGAGCGTTGAAGAGGAAGTTGAAGTAGAAGATGAGAAGGTACTTTTTGTCTAAACGCAGATCGTTGTGTAATACGGCAGGCCATTGAACCTAGATGCAGCTTCATTTTACTTATACATATTTCAAACTAAATCGCAGGAACCAGTGATTGAATATGTTGAAGACTATAGTGAAGAAGAAGAAGAAGATGATATGGAAGATTTCTGTGGTATTCCGTCTAAGGAGTCTCACCTAGACGGCGATGATCATGGTAAAAATTCATCTTCGTCCTGTTTCTTTTATGTTTGTTTTCACGATTTTAATTCAAGAACTGCAGTAATGCATTTGAGTTGTTGCTCGTCACCTACATGTTTTCATGACATATATATATAGCTTCGTTTATTCATAAAGATTAATTCCAATTAATGAACTCTCTGCAGACTCGGAAGATGAGGATGGGGATGATGCTGAGGAGCAAGTTGTGATTCATAAAAAGGGAAAATCGAAGAAGAGGTCAAGAGTAGCTGTTGAGGTGAGATTCCACAAGCTGGCTTTAATAATTCGCAAGATGTTGGGCGTACTTTGTGTCTGCGGTTTCGATTTTTTTTTTTCTTACATTCTTGTATGTCTTTCAGGTCGAGCATGAAGATGATGGAGTCACGAGGCGAAATCTGAAGAGCCTTGCACTTTGAGAAGGAAAGTGAAAGTTTTGATACTTATGATTGGAAAAGGTAGAGTTTCTTCATCAGTTGTGAGGCCTTTTGGTTTTGTAGTTCTCCTTGAAAGCTAATAGTAGTTATTTAACTTTTATATCAAAACCATTTATATATGAAGTTACAAGTTTGTTTTTGGAATTGTTACTGAAAAACTTGAAAAGAAGAGGCGTTGTATGAATCGATGATGTATCAATTATTGACACTTGGGTGGATTTTGTTTCTTTATCAAAACACAGTGAAATCGAAATCTGCAGAGAAGTTGATGAAATTGAATGAGGCATTTCGATAATGTTACGAGCTTCTTAGTCTCACAACAGTAACGATGAGGAATTTGGAACGTTTTTTAAGTTGTCTTTTTGACTATACTAGGTGTTTACCGTGCTATGCTGCTGCATATTTTTCTAAATTTTGTATATATTTTTTTAATATAATAAAATTATTTTTATAATGTAAATAAGTATTATTTTATTTTTTATTAGCTTAAATTATATATTTATATCTTTTAAATCTGAATAAATATTATATATACTTAATTTTTTTACTTTTTAAATTATAAATAGCTATTAAATTTGTATATATAAGAAAAAAACAATACATTTTTAAATACTTTCATGTTAATAGTAAATATAATATATTTTCTCCATTAAATTGTCATTTGATACTTTTTTATAATTATGTAAAGCAAAATGTTATTTAAAAAAAAATTATTAATTAATATAATTATTTTGAAGTATAAAATTTATTTATTTATCGAATATTTATTATAAATCTATGTTTTTAAAACCATCAAACTATAATCAATAACATTCATATCAAAATCATTGTTGTTGTTTTCGAACTAAACATAAAATTCTATTTAAACTCTTGAACTTTCGATTTAGTTAAAATTAAATCATTAAAATTGATTACTGTAAACATATTGTAACTTGAAATTTTAGTAAAGAGAAATTTCACCCTTTTACAAAAACCGAGAAATAGCATCTCCTGTCAAAACAAAAAAACTTCCTACGAAAATTAAGAAATCACATATTCTCGCCAAAACAAACAAAATTCATTTTCTTGTCAAACATAAAATTTTATTTTCCCACTAAAACAGAGAAATTGTATTTTTTCGCAAAAACCAAGAAACCATATTTTCCCGCAAGAGACTGTGTTTTCCATCAAAACCGAGAAATCATGTTTTTTCACTTAAACCAAAAATTTCATCTTCCTACAAAAACCCAAAAATCATATTTTCCCATCGAAACCGAAAAATTCATTTTCCGCGGATACCGAGAAATCGTCTATTCTCACTAAAACCAAATAATTTATTTTTTCATCAATCCAAAACTTACGCTTTCGCACCAAAACCGATAAACTATTTCTCGCGAAAACCAAAAATTAAATTATCTCCAAAGGAATTTTTTTTTCGCGAAAACCAAAAAGTCGTATTATTTGTCAAAAACTGAAAATGTACATTTCCCATCAAAACCGAGAAATTGCAATTTCTCTCGAAAACTAAGAAAACACATTTTTCCGCGAAAAAAAAAAATCATATTATCCTTTAAAAGTCAAAAATTTGTGTTTACTCTCAAAACAGAGAAATCAGATTTTTTTAATCAAAATTGAAAACTTCCATTTACCATCACGAATGAAAATCACATTTTTCCGTCAAAATTAAAATATTTTGTTTTCCCGTCAAAATCAAATTTTTTTTTTGTTTTCTTACAAAAACTGAAAATTCACATTTTTACACCAAACCCGAGAATTCGCTTTTCCCACCATGAACGAAAATTAGGTTTTCTTACCAAAACTGAAAATCACATTATTCTATGGAAACCAAGAAATCCTCTATTTCCGCAAAACTAAGAAATTCCCTATTCCCGCCTATGCCAAGAAAAACTATTTTCTTGCCAAACCGAGATATCGTATTTTCTTAACAAAACTGAAAAATTTGCATTTTTCCGTCAAAATCGCCGAATTGCATTTTCTCGAAAAAACTGTAAAATTGTATTTTTCTGCGGAAAATCAGCCAAAAATTAAACTATATTAGAATAATAATTTGGAAATCTTTCTACTTAAAAAGAAAGCAAAATAATTATCAAACTTAAAACTAAAAGATTGTTTTCTGAGAAAGTAAATTAAAAAATTTCTAGTAGTATATTGTTGTTTATCCATATTTCTTTAAAAAGAAGAATGCAAAAATCGATGCAGCAGGCAGAGTAACAGAGTAATATAATAAGATTGAGGAGACATGATATTTAATGATAATTTGAAGAAAAAGAGAGAAATTTTGTTTTTTTTTAAATAATTGTTTATATCAAAGGATCTTATGGGCTTTCTAATGTAATGAGTTTTATTTAGTTGTTAATCTTGAAAAAAAAATTTGACCCAAATGAATTGAAAATATTTTTTAATGAGTTGTATTAATAAAATATTTTATATATATTTTAATATAATAAAATTATTTTTATAATATAAATGAGTATTATTTTATTTTTTTATTAGCTTAAGTTATATATTTATATCTTTTAAATCTGAATAAACATTATATATACTTAATTTTTTTATTTTTTAACATTATAAATAGCTATTAAATTTGTTTAGCTAACTAACTATAAATGTATATATAAGAGAAAAGCAATACATTTTTAAGTAGTTTCATGCTAATGGTAAATATAATATATTTTCTCCATTAAATTACCATTTGATCCTCCTTTGTAATTATGTAAAGCAAAATGTCATTTAAAAAAAGATTTATTAATTAATATAATTATTTTGAAGTACAAAATTTATTTATTTATCAAATATTTATTATAAACCTATGTTTCTAAAACCACCAAACTATAATCAATAACATTTATATCAAAACCATTGTTGTTGCTTTCAAACTAAACAGAAAATTCTATTTAAACTCTTGAACTTTCGATTTAGTTGAAGTTAAATAATTAAAATTGGTTACTGTAAATATATTGTAACTTAAAATTTTAGTAAAAAGAAATTTCACCTTTTTACAAAAACCGAGCAAAAGCATCTCCTGTCAAAACAAAAAAACTTCTTACGAAAACTAAGAAATCACATATTCTCGCCAAAATAAACAAAATTCATTTTCTTGTCAAACATAAAATTTTATTTTCCCACTAAAACAGAGAAATTTTATTTTTTCGCAATAATCAAGAAACCACATTTTTCCACAAGAGAATGTGTTTTCCATCAAAACCGAGAAATCATGTTTTTTTCACTTAAGCAAAAATTTTATCTTCCTACAAAAATACAAAAATCATATTTTCCCATCGAAACAAAAAAATTCATTTTTCCGCGGATACCGAAAAATTGTCTATTCCCACTAAAACCAAATAATTTATTTTCTCATCAATCCAAAAATTACACTTTTCCACCAAAATCGATAAACTATTTCTCGCGAAAGCCAAAAATTAAATTATCTCTAGAGGAATTTTTTTCGCGAAAACCAAAAGGTCGTATTATTTGTCAAAAACTGAAAATGTACATTTCCCATCAAAACCGAGAAATTGCAATTTCTCTCGAAAACTAAGAAAACACATTTTTCCGCGAAAACAAAAAAAATCATATTATCCGTTAAAATTCAAAAATTTGTGTTTCCTCTCAAAACAGAGGAATCACATTTTTTAGTCAAAATTGAAAACTTCCATTTCCCATCACGAATGAAAATCACTTTTTTCCGCCAAAATTAAAATATTTTGTTTTCCCGTCAAAATCAAATTTTTTTTTGTTTTCTTACCAAAACTGAAAATTCACATTTTTACACCAAACCCGAGAATTCGCTTTTCCCACCATAAACGAAAATTAGGTTTTCTTACCAATACTGAAATTCACATTATTCTATGGAAACCAAGAAATCCCCTATTTCTGCAAAACTAAGAAATTCCCTATTCCCGCCTAAGCCAAGAAAAATTATTTTCTCGCCAAACTGAGATATCATATTTTCCTAACAAAACTGAAAAATTTGCATTTTTCCGCGCCGAATTGCATTTTCTCGAAAAAACTGTGAAATTGTATTTTCCTGCGGAAAATCAGCCAAAAGTTGAACTATATTAGGATAATAATTTGGGAATCTTTCTACTTAAAAAGAAAGCAAAATAATTATCAAACTTAAAACTAAAAGATTGTTTTCTGAGAAAGTAAATTAAAAAATTTCTAGTAGTATCTTGTTGTTTATCCATATTTCTTCAAAAAGAAGAATGCAAAAATCCGATGCAGCAGGCAGAGTAATATAATAAGATTGAGGAGACCTGATATTTAATGATAATTTGATGGAAAAGAGAGAATTTTTTTTTTAATTGATTATTTATATCAAAGGATCTTATGGGCTTTCTAATGTAATGAGTTTTATTTAGTTGTTAATCTTGGAAAAAAATTTTGACCCAAATGAATTGAAAATCTTTTTTAATGAATTGTATTAATAAAATATTTTCTATATATTTTTAATATAATAAAATTATTTTTATAATATAAATGAGTATTATTTCTTTCTTTATTAGCTTAAGTTATATATTTATATCTTTTAAATCTGAATAAACATTATATATACTTAATTTTTTTACTTTTTAACATTATAAATAGTTATTAAATTTGTTTAGCTAACTAACTATAAATGTATATATAAGAGAAAAGCAATACATTTTTAAGTAGTTTCATGCTAATGGTAAATATAATATATTTTCTCCATTAAATTGCCATTTGATCCTCCTTTGTAATTATGTAAAGCAAAATATTATTTAAAAAAAGATTAATTAATTAATATAATTATTTTGAAGTACAAAATTTATTTATTTATCAAATATTTATTATAAACCTATGTTTCTAAAACCACTAAACTATAATCAATAACATTTATATCAAAACTATTGTTGTTGCTTTCGAACTAAACAAAAAATTCTATTTAAACTCTTGAACTTTCGATTTAGTTGAAGTTAAATAATTAAAATTGGTTACTGTAAACATATTGTAACTTGAAATTTTAGTAAAGAGAAATTTTACCTTTTTACAAAAACCGAGAAAAAGCATCTCCTGTCAAAACAAAAAAACTTCTTACGAAAACTAAGAAATCACATATTCTCGCCAAAACAAACAAAATTCATTTTCTTGTTAAACATAAAATTTTATTTTCCCACTAAACAAAGAAATTGTATTTTTCCGCAAAAACCAAGAAACCACATTTTTTCGCAAGAGACTGTGTTTTCCATCAAACCGAGAAATCATGTTTTTTTCACTTAAGCCAAAAATTTCATCTTCCTACAAAAACCTAAAAATCATATTTTCCCATCGAAACCGAAAATTTCATTTTTCCGCGGATACCGAGAAATCGTCTATTCCCACCAAAACCAAATAATTTATTTTCTCATCAATCCAAAAATTACGGTTTCCCACCAAAACCGATAAACTATTTCTCGCGAAAACCAAAAATTAAATTATCTCCAGAGGAATTTTTTTCGCAAAAACTAAAAAGTCGTATTATTTGTCAAAAACTGAAAATGTACATTTCCCATCAAAACCGAGAAATTGCAATTTCTCTCGAAAACTAAGAAAACACGTTTTTCCGCGAAAACAAAAAAATCATATTATTCATTAAAAGTCAAAAATTTGTGTTTCCTCTCAAAACAGAGGAATCACATTTTTAGTCAAAATTGAAAACTTCCATTTCCCATCACGAATGAAAATCACATTTTTCGTCAAAATTAAAATATTTTGTTTTCTCGTCAAAATCAATTTTTTTTTTGTTTTCTTACTAAAACTGAAAATTCACATTTTTACACCAAACCCGAGAATTCGCTTTTCCCACCATAAACGAAAATTAGGTTTTCTTACCAAAACTGAAAATCACATTATTCTATAGAAACCAAGAAATCGCCTATTCCCGCAAAACTAAGAAATTCCCTATTTCCGCCTAAGCCAAGAAAAATTATTTTCTCGCCAAACCGAGATATCGTATTTTCCTAACAAAACTGAAAAATTTACATTTTTCCGTCAAAATCGCCGAATTGCATTTTCTCGAAAAAACTGTGAAATTGTATTTTTCTGCGGAAAATCAGCCAAAAGTTGAACTATATTAGGATAATAATTTGGAATCTTTCTACCTAAAAAAAAAGCAAAATAATTATCAAACTTAAAACTAAAAGATTGTTTTCTGAGAAAGTAAACTAAAAAATTTCTAGTAGTATTTTGTTGTTTTTCCATATTTCTTTAAAAAGAAGAACGCAAAAATCCGATGCAGCAGGCAGAGTAATATAATAAGATTTAGGAGACCTGATATTTAATGATAATTTGAAGAAAAAAAAAAGATAAAATTTGTTTTTTTAAATAATTATTTGGGTTAATTTGCTGTATAACCATAATAACAAAAAAATACAAGAATATAGCTATATTATTTGAATAATTTGTAAACTAACTATACTCCACAATCAATTATCGAATATAACCTTATACTATATTATATTTTGTACTATACTACATATTAATTTTATAGAATAGTAGTCGTTTGATATAGTATTAATAGAAAAAGTTGGCTGTAAAGAGAAAAAGAGAAAGAAGAAGACGGAAGAGAAAAGGAGATGAGGGGAAGGGAGGAGAGGGGAAAAGGAGGAGAAAGAGAAGGAGAAGTGGAAAGGAAGACACTGAAAGGAATGAGCTGATGAGAAGAAGGGAGGGGAAGAAGATAGAAGAGAAAGAGTATTTGTATATATTGTAAAATATACAGATAATATCATAGCATCTGTATATTATGGTTATTTGATGAATTTAAGTTGTTTATATGGTCATACGATCTAATTTCTCTAATTATTTATATCAAAGGATCTTATGGACTTTCTAATATAATGAGTTTTATTTAGTTATTAATCTTGGAAAAAATTTTTAACTCAAATGAATTAAAAATATTTTTTAATGAATTATATTAATAAAATATTTTTATTGGTCAATTTTTTTGCTGAAATATCATTTTAGGAAAGCTTGAAAAAGCTAAAGTGTTTTCACAACGAGAGACATATGTGTTTGTGTTGATTTTGTATGTTATAAAAAAAGGAAACTCGTGTGAAGACAAATAAATAAGTCAAATTTACTGTGCTCCAACCAGAGAATAATAATAAAATGGACATTTAACATTTTTTTTTGCGTAGAACAAAAAAAGAAATTTAACAATTCACTGCAACGAGTAAAAGCATAAATTAGCCGTTGTCTATAAGAAGCAGCTTATTGTCATCGGTTTCTTCTCAAAAAAATTACAACTCCAACGAATCAACGACAATGTCGAGTTTCGGATATCTCTCTAGTAAAGACAATATAGCCGTGGAGAATCTGCTTTCACAGGCCATGGATCTCTACGTTCTAGAGCAAGTCGCCGCCATCAACTGCTCCGGCTTCACCGACTCTGTTCTTCCCGCTAACCTCGAGACTCGTTTCCGTCGTCTCAAATCTCTTCCTGTTTCTCGACAACCCGACCAGGTTCCTTCCTCCAAGAAGCTTCTCACACACTCCAAGAGCATGGCAGGTTACCCGGAGAAGAATCACGGAAACGCGTTTTCCGGTGACGAGAGGAGGAACGTCACCGTGAGAATCAAACGAGATCCGACTGTGAAATCTCGTCCGTTGGCTTCATCTGTTGTGGAAACGCGTGGAATCAAACGCGACCCGAGTGTGAATTCGCGAGGTAGGCTTGTACCGGAAACAAGCAGGGGTTTCTCAGGTTCGGGGAGAATCGGTTCGGTTTCGTCACGGTTTTCTGGAGGTTCTGGGAAACCCGGTTCGGTTTCGGCGAGGTTTTCTCGAGATGGCGGCAAGGTTTTCTCGCCGCCAACGATACAAACAATGACGTTTCTTCCTAGAGAGAAATCGAGGATTAGCTCATCTTCGTTTACCTCGATTGATTTAGCTTCACCATCATCCGATACCGATCAAGACCGAGAAGAAGGATCAAACCGGAAATCGAAATCGAAATCAAGATGGTCAGTGTCATGGTTTGATAAGTTATCACCGTCACGAGCCATGGGTTGCTTATGTCGTTATCCAAGCGAATCATAATCGAAGAGTGGCAGCAAATCATACTGGAAAAGAGTGAAGAATGTTACAACAGAAAAGCAGATAAACTCGTAAAAATAACTATAGGTTTTGGCTTTCTTTTGAGCGGTTTTATTAGTACTAAAACATCATTATGGATATTGTAATCAAAAGATTAATTTGCATTCTTGTGTTGGATATGAAAAAAAAAAAAGCTTCTCATTTGGTTCGATAATACGGAATATTCAATTCAGTTGACATGAAACGGTTCAATAGCGTACAAACCAAACGGGTCATTAACAAAAAAAAATTACACCATCAGCAAATTAACATTTTTTCACAAGACTTAACATTTTTACTCAGCTTTTCCTAAATTCTCTTTTTGTTTCATAAACGATAAACAAATATTTATAATAAGAAAAATAGGCAAAAAAAAAACATTTTGCAACACTTTAATACCTTCCATTAATTGCACCTAAATATTTTATTTGGCAGACATATTTTGTGATTTTTGCAGACATAGTGAGTATTTCTTAATCTTCTCACATTAGCCCCATGAAAGAAATAAAATAGTTATCAACACCCAAAACGCCCCATATCCCTTTTCCTCCAATCCTTGGCTCTTTGACACATCCTTTCTGGTAAAACAGTACTCTCTCTCTCTCTCTCTCTCTCTCTCTCTCTCTATTTCTGATTTCTCCTTCTCTATTGCCGATTTTTCTCTCACCTAACCCTAATTATTCTACCTGAGAGATTCGTCTACGATCCGGCGATGAGTTCCGAGGAAGCCAAGGTCGTCGGTAAGTCCGATCGATTTCCCGTTCAAAATTTTGTCATCGCTTTCCTCAATTTGATTTTGGGATCTAGGGTTTTTTTTGTGTTGGCCCGATTTACATACTTTTTTATCCGCCGAGCTTCTAAACAGAATGTGACCGGATCCAAGGTCTCCGATTCAAGTATCTGATCTGGAAAATGATTGATTTACGCAAAAACACACGCGATATCTAATCTGCCCTGGATTTTTGTTTTTTTTGGTGTAGTTCCGAGGAACTTTAGATTGTTGGAAGAGCTTGAAAGAGGTGAGAAAGGTATCGGAGATGGTACCGTGAGCTATGGAATGGACGATGCTGATGATATCTATATGCAATCCTGGACTGGCACCATTCTCGGCCCTCACAATGTATCTATCTCTTCTCTTTCACTCTCTTTTGCCTGCGTTTGATAGATTAAAGATGCAATTTTTAACACTTTTGGGAGAGAGAGAGAGAGAGAGTTTATTGCTCAAGCAAATCATGTCGATTCCCAAATTTGGATGCTTTGGAGTTTTCTTCTACTTTTTGTCCCTATCTTTTGGGTAATATCGCTTGTACAAGTAACTTAATACAGTTGTGTGGCTTTTACTTGAATTGATATATAGCTGTGTCATTGTAGCTACATATCTTAACACAGAGTGCACAAGAAAGAATGAAATTTGTTCGTTTTGCCTTTGAATTTTTGGGAAGATTGATGTTTTTTTGTTTGGGTGATGAATGACTATAATCAGACTGCATACGAAGGGAAGATCTTCCAGCTGAAGCTATTCTGTGGCAAGGATTACCCTGAAAGTCCACCAACTGTGAGGTTCCAGACCCGTATTAACATGGCTTGTGTCAACCCAGAATCTGGAGTGGTAATCATCTCTTTGACATTGTTTGTGTTATATGTGTGTGTGTGTGTGTGTGTGGCTATGGATATTTGCTTACTCTTAACAACTTGTAGGTTGAACCGAGTCTCTTCCCGATGCTCACTAACTGGCGGCGAGAGTACACAATGGAGGACATTCTGGTTAAGCTGAAAAAAGAAATGATGACTTCGCATAACCGCAAGTTAGCTCAACCCCCGGAAGGTAATCTCATACTGGTTTTAAGTGTGTTTGATTGTGATAAAGTCATATCAGGCTCTAACCAACAAGGTCTTGTTTCACCAGGTACCGAGGAAGCTAGGGCAGATCCAAAGGGACCAGCCAAATGCTGTGTGATGTGAAGAGAGAGATGGAGGAAATTCAGCAATTTGTATTAATTAATAGAAGGGGACAGTGTATATAAAACATCATTTGAAGCTTTGAGAAATTGCATGCAAACTTAATGTTATAGCTTTGTTTGAAGATTATATATATATATATCTCCACCAAAAAAACAGGTGATTATGAGTCTACTAATAAACTTTTATCTCTTCTTTATCTTCTTAGTTCGTGTCGTGGGCGAGTTCTTTAACCGTTCAAAACATTTTTTGCGTTTACAAAAGTTGAATCCTATTAATCTATTCAGCTCAAAAACTATTCCATTGTTGGATAATTCGAGTATTTCGCATTTCTAGTGGCATAAGAGTCGAGCCAAATGCAGATTATGTATTAAATTTTACTATTTGGGACCATGCGTAGAGAATTGATTTTGAAACTTTTTATTTTACCAAAATTGAGTAAAAAAAGGGGAAGGATGAATAGTGTAAGTTGAGTAGATAAAATGTCCATATGAATGCAAAATTAGTGAAAAAACTGAAAATAACCGGGATTAATCAGGTAGAAAAATAATAAAGAAGACAATTAAAATCGAATTGATGAACAAGGAGAATTTTGAAATTGATAATACCGTGTAAATGAAGAAAGGGCCGAAAGTGACATTGATAGGAAAGGAAAGTAAACAAACAAAAATTGTTAAAGAGTCTCACACTTTCTCCTACTCATGCTTGAGAAACACGTCTACGCATATATCAATATACATGTCGAGGACACATTTGTACAAAGAGACACACTAACATATTCTGATCAAATCCTTATTATATAAGTATGAAACTAATTAAATTCTTCTATATTTTCTTTTTATCTGTATAAAACCCAAAGAGAGATCCAATAGCTAACAACAAATTGTTTGTGTTAATAATTTGTGTTCTTACTTATTTCCATCTCCACTTTCTCATGTCTCAACAGGCCAAAAAGGATACTTCCTCTGGCTCTTCACAAACTATAGGTAGTGTTTGTGTTTCGTTTTCTTCTCTTACTTTTCCTGCGAATATCAAATTTTGCTCTCTTTTTTATTATAAACACATGTTTATGGGGGTTATATGTTATGTTATGTAGGAGAAAAATCTATTCAGGGAGGAGATAATGCATTGGAGAAACATGTAGCCTTCTTCGACAGGAACGGAGACGGCGTCATTTATCCTTGGGAAACCTACCAAGGTATAACATACGCAATTTATTAATCAAATGTGAATAAGATTTTCCATGTGTTGCTTAGGCAGTTAAGCTATGTTTATTATAAGAACAAATTTGATTGGTCAACTGTATAAATACATTCAAAAAAGGATTTAGAGCGCTCGGGGCAGGACGTCTCCAGTCAGCTTTTGCTGGTCTCTTCATCAACATGGGACTAAGCCAGAAAACTCGTCCGGTACCAATATGACCACAACTTCTCTTTCTTTTCTCATTACTATTGGTTCATTGTTTCCATTTGAATCATCCATGTACATCTTCTAATGTAGTGAGTGATATGCTAAAATACTTGCAGGGGAAAGGTTTCTCGCTCTTGTTTCCAGTAGAAGTGAAGAATAGTCGTTTTGGCATCCATGGTAGTGACACCGACGCCTACGACAAGGACGGAAGGTTTTTATTTTATTTTGTTTGATTTCATTTCTTCCTTATTTAAGCTTAATTACGAATTAGTTAGTCGCTTATACAAAAGTTTAATTACTCCCTTGTGAATTTTTTGCAGATTTGTGGAATCAAAATTCGAGGAGATATTCAAGAAGCATGCTCACACACATCAAAATGCCCTCACTTACAAAGAAATTCATCAATTGCTTAAGACTAACAGAGACCCTAAAGATTACGGAGGATGGTTCGTTGCTTTTTTATTTTAACAAATCAGTATCTTTATTCCGATTTTTTTTCAGTTATATAGATTTAAAATGCTTCTTAATATTACAGAGAAATTTTTTTTTTTATACCTAATAATATATAAAAGCACAGGATTTCAGCATTTATAGAATGGACGGTGTTACATGAGTTATACCAAGACAAAAATGGTTTGTTGACGAAAGAGACAGTAAGGGGCGTTTACGATGGCAGCATTTTCAAACAATTGGAGAAACAAAGATCTTCTTCTTCGCGTGACAAGAAACAAAACCTACGTTAAATATTCCTTCAATAACCCATTTATTCATCATCTTCACTACAAATGAATATTTATGTGACATTTGTGTATTTTTGTAATGATAATTACCTGTGTATATTTTCCGGTTTATTATTACTAGATTAATGTCAACTTTGATATTGATATTTTTGTGAACATTTATTTAAAATTGCGGACTTCAGACTAGACACCATGAAAGCTGGGGAGGCGATTCCAAAATGTTTTTAAAAAATCATCCATTGTTCAACTTGTGATTTATAAAAATGTTTGAGATGGTTTTCTAGTAAGAATTACAAACATCAGAGAAACAAAATGTTATAATTTATATATACAGACAATACAAACAAAATTAGTTGTAACCATAATTTACCAAAATAAGTTGTAGATGAAATCAGTTTATGTGCTTCTATCATCGCTCTACCGACTTTGCCTCTACCACGGACATAACATTATCTGAGGTATTTTCTAACAACTAAGAAGTGTTGGTCTTTGCGGTATTCTGATGAGCAGCTGCATATATAGAAGAATTGGGATCGGTCTTGAGGTGAGAGAGAAGGTGTTGTACATCTGGTCGGAGAGCATCTGCTGCTCTTCCGATTAACGCCAATATGTCTGGTCTCGGCTTGCTGCTACTTTGCACAGCTCCTCCTTGTCCCTCGTAGTGAACAACATGGTGTCTGCAACCATTTCAAATCCACAAGCTCAAGAACAGAAAAGCTATATATGATTGTTATTCAATAAAGACGACGAGTCCATGTTTTTGGAATGGTAATTTAGAAGCCTTACAGGAAATCGATAAGATCTGCAATCTGGGATGCTTCAACAGGGACCTGTGTCTGCGAATTCTTTCCGAAAACATCGACCATTGTGCTCAAGAGAAGTGCTAACGTCTGTTGAGAAACAGATAAGAACACCAAAGTCAAATTAGACAAGACAAAGAAACATATAGTCGAGTTTTGTGATGGAAGATCAATTCCAATTATGTTTTGCTAGAGAGACTGTGTATTATCTAACATGCTTATAGCAACAGTAAAATGAAACCATGAAATAGCCTTTTGTATTCAAACTCTATTAATCTATTGATATAACATTTAACAATGAACAGAAAGTTACATAGTAACTCAAAAAGTAAGAGTACCTTGTTAAAGAGCGTATGTGTGTTTGCAAGCCTTGGGAGCAGAGGCCCCATAATACGGAATGCGACTCTGAGCATTGCGACAGATGTCACAGGCCTGAGGTTCTTGATGATGACATGCGTGCCTTCAAGCCATTCTTGTGGGAGATTGCTGAAGAAAGCATGAAGCAAGGCGACTATATTTCCTGGAAGACGACACAACGATTCACATGTTAAAAAAAAAAAAGCCAAAATACAAACACAAATATTTGATTCATCTATGGATTCAAAACCTATATATATCTTTTACCTATGGCGGTCGAGGTGTTGTCCTGAGCAGCCCATGTAGGATCCATCAAAGCATATCCAATAGCCGAGTCTATTTCACCTTCTGATCTCTTCCCGTCATTAAGCCACCATGTCTCCCTTATCACTCGTGACGCCTCCATGTAAAGCTGCGTGTGAAAATCCGGAGGCAGCTGAGCCAGCAAAAGCCCGCAAGCTTGAATCAACAGACACGACAGCTGCTGGCATGTATAACCGCTTCTAGAGACAAAGCTCGCCGTGTTGATACCAGGGATCACACAAGTGGACCGGCTTGCGCTCATGGAGTCCGTGCTCCCTCCTGAGGGAGAGGTAGGCAGCACCGACCCTTGCCCCACCCCGTTTGCAGCGCCGTGGAACCCGTTGCCGGATTGAATAAGGGTTGATTGTATGTTGACAATAATCTTGACAAGAGAAGAGACAATCTCTGAAGCTGAGACCGGAAGCGAGAGGATCTCGATCACGGCGGTTTCAAGAACCAACTGAGTGTAAGTTCCCGGGTCCTGGATCTGATAGAATGCTTTCTGTCCCTCAGAGGCGTTTGCTGGTCCGGGCTGAGATGCTCCTGGGGGTTTTCCATGAGGAGGTCTCGCTGAGCTGTTTAAGAAATCGGCCATTGAGCCTGACCTCGAGCTGCAGTTGCTGCTGCTGCTAAGTGGAGGTATAACGTTGTTCACGAGATTAAGCAGAAGAGTGGCGAAGTAATCCAGAGGTGGGCATGGAGGGGGAGGACTGGTAGTGCTGATGTATTGCGGGAATGATTCAGAGAATGGAATCTGCGCCAAAAGAGTTGTTAGCTTCTGTTGAATCGAATGTGGAAACAGTTACGGTCAAAGGTATCTAGATAAAAATGGTGAATTACCTTGCTGAGATCAAGTACTCTGAGAATTCGCATAACAAGTGTCCCGGGAAGATGACCATAGAAATAGGCGAGTATATCACGGACAAACGTGAATCTGAGAGGATGATAAGCCACAAAATGGGCGTATGCAGTCAAAATATTTTCAGCTGCATCCATGGCATTGTTCTCGATGAACCTGTACACCACTAGAGGGATAACTGGAAGCAAACGCGCCGCAATATCATCAAAGAACGTTGGATACCTGGTTTTAACACAATCAAAATAGATTCCCAAGTTTAACAGAATGATGCCACACAAAATTGCCAAAAAAAACATAAAAAAATGTTTCACACATTCATGGTTTGAACGTTACCTGTCCTTCCAAGAAAGATGGTTACCAAGGGCCTTCTGGAGTTCATTGCGTTTGAACACGTGCGTGTAAAGCCAATGCTCAGGAGGCCCACGGTTTGTGCAGTACCCGGTAATCCTCAGCAGAAGCTCTGGCGTTTCGAGTAGGCTTTTCTGTAAATCAACAACATCCATAAATTTTCATTTCATCTTAAGCTTATCTCACGTTAAAGCATGAACATACTGCGATTATCAAGGCGTGCGGATCATCATCACGGTCAATGAGCGCCAGAAGAAAGATGTCCAGAGGAAGCATTTCATGTGTCCAGAAGAAAAATGCAAGATTGGCGCCTTGCTTGACTAGAATTGCCTGAATATAGATTTTTTTTTTAATGACATGTAAGACGATGGTGAATATCAAGCAACGAAAACTGAGTTCAAACAAAAGAGGAACCTGTAAATTGTGTCCTTGCTGAAGGTCTACACGAACGTGGTGAAGCAAAACATCTACTAAAGTGTATATGTTAGCAGTGACTTCTTCAGGAGATACTTCTCTCAGAACACGTGCCTGATAAATAGATTCGAAGAGAAAATCATTACCACTATCAATTAACAAATCTGTTCACAGCTTTGCAGGGACTAAGCGAAAAAACAAACCAGATTTGCGCTGTTGATGTTATCAGGGTGGCCTTGCATCAGCAGACAAGCCCCAGCACAAAGATACTGGCGGTGTTGAGGAAAACTGTGACTGAGGTATGTCATAACGTAAGCCGGTTCAGCAGCTGGTGAGAGAAGCTGAGTGCACTGGTTTATCACAGTTGTCTCAGCCTGTTGCCACGCCTGAATAGCCAGGCTCCTCTTGTCTACCCGTCCGATCAAAGTGTCACGTAGAAGCGATGGGAAATGGCGCAGCGTCTTCTCTGACCACGTATGCTGACTCGTCGCTAGTATTTGTTCCAGCATGGTTTGCAGATAAACCAGGTGATCAGCATCTGCGATTCCACGTGTTTTGATTGTGATAGCAAGAGTCATTATGGTTATACGGTTTAATGTTTCAGTGAATTCAGTTGGCCCCTGGTGATAATAACATTAGGAGGCAATTATTAACACCTGAATCATCCTAAGCAAGAGACAGTGACGTTTAATTCTACAAAAGTCACTTACTTTTCCCTCCCGCTTCACAGAAAAGAAGTCTCTGAGTGATAGAATGAGATTCATGCATAAATTTTCGGCTAGTCTGAATATACGGTGGTCGCCACGTTTTCCTTTCAATGCAGAGATGATTTTAGTAACATCATACATTAAAGTTTTGCTTTTTCCTTGGTATCTGCAAAAGGTGCATCAACAAGGCCATTAGTTTCGTTTAGTCGGGTCAAACAGCAAGGATGAGGAAAGCCTGAAACAAATTTTCATCTAGCTGGAAAAGTATTTAAGGATCTCGCTCATTTTACCTGTATAGCGGAAGCAAACGATAGTTCAGAATCTCAAGAACAAGCAAAGTCACGCCAGGCTTGCTTAGCAGAGAAGCATTTCTCTGGGCCAATTGCTACAGAAAGTTAGCAAAATCTCATGAATCGCTTATGATCAACAGAAAGCTGTTATAAACATAAGATGATGAAAATCAAAAAGGGTAAAATAAGGAGCCATATAGCTCACACTGAAATGCGAACGGAACATCGAGTGAGGTGAAATGAGCAGCAATCTTGTGTATGTCTCAACCATTGCAATGCTAGGAACAACCTGCATCCAGACATTAAATTCATTTTTCTCAGAACAGGTCACTAAGTGAAAACTCCATGGCATCACTTAACATATATAATATCCTTGTGAAACAAAGTAAACAAACCTGGCTAACAAACAAAGCTTCTTCCATTTGAAGGGCCAATTTCAAGCACAAGTTCATTGAAAAGCCAGATAACAATGACATCGGTAATGGTGTCACTTCCTGCATCATCATTACTCTGTCGTTTGGTTGTAATCCCGGTATCTCAGCCATACCAGCTGAAGATAACCAGTTTATAACTGTTTCACAAGCCGGTTGTGCCATGGTATAGGAAACAACCCAAAACATGCCAATCGACCTATCATCCATATTCATATAATCCATCATGCGCTCTCCTGGAAAACCCCAAACAAGAAACAGAATGAGAAGGGAGCTTTAATTGTCGAGAATTCTCTTGGCTTCCTACTTCGTAAAGCGGCTTTCAGAATCTACCTTTGCTTCTCCACCACTCATCAATCTGTTTTCCTTTCAACAGTTGTTCATTGTTTAGGTATGCCCTAGTTGTTGCGCTTAGTGACCAAATCCGCAGATTCTGACAACTGCTTACGAAGTCAAGCAACACGCTCTGAGGATTGTTGGGATCAGTTCTGTCTTCCCTGTGAAATGATAAGATCTTCCTAGTAGTCTCCACCTGAGAGAAAACCAAAATAGAGCAAAAGTTGCGATGTCAAGCTCAATGAAGAGGAAGTACAATTAATTGAATTGCAGCTGCGAACATATCACTGTTATTGAGCAACGACCTTTTTAGGATCAGAGTTCAAAGCAGTCATCACAAGCTCCACGCGTATGATTTGTGCAAGCAACCACGTCACATGGTTCGTTCGAAGAATATGGTTATCAACACCGTTAAGGCGTAAGACCAACTTATCAATGAAATCAACAAAGTCAGTACACCCACTTTTGATTAGAAAGAAGAAAATATCTGAGAAAACCAGCCACTCTTGCCAGCAATTTGCATCTGCAAAGAGAGAGGGAGGGGAAAAGAAACAGATAACAAATCAATACCAATGCACTCCTAGTATATCGGTATCTCAAACTCTTAATTTAATCTTTCTCTATCTAAGCCTAACGAATGAACCATTAGAGAACTTTCAAACTCAATCTAAACGAGAATAAACGTAAAAGAAAATAGGTTCTCCAAAACTGCTTGCAATCATTTTTCACAGATTTAAAAGGAAGTCACATACTAAAGCTATGAGAGATTAGGGAAAGACAAACATTGCCTGAGTTGGTCAGCTTAAGAAGCTCAACAATCCTGTCAATGATTGCCTCACAGATCATGTCAGAAGTGAAAACGGCTCCAGGGATAGGCCCTGATTGTGCAGAAGGTCTATAACATGGGGCCACAACAAGAACACGCTTCCACCAGTCCGGCGACGGCGTTGTGCGAATAGCATGTCTAATGCAACGCACTGCTCTCTCCCAATCCAAGCTTCCTTTTGGAATAGACATTGCCAGATCCTACCAGTGTAACAAAACAAAAAAAAATGATTAAAAAAATTCACATGTTGCAAAGCATGTACATTACACAATAACAGTAACAGTCAAGTAATCTCCATAATTTCATGAGTATCACCTCTCCATACAAAGGCTCCCCAAGCACACTTGGATACGTAATTGGTGAATAGCGAAGGTGTGCCACAGCTTCCGCTGAGACATTGGCAGTTGTTTGGGACGAAATACGATGCGTACCAAACGTTGGACAGTGAAGGTGTTGGTCCAGCATGAGCATGTGCATGGCCATCGCATCTCGCCTCCGGTGTATCTCCATGATAAGAGTGAACAAGGCTTCATCATCAGGTATGTTCTCTATAAACTGCAGACCACTCCGCAGTAACTCGTAGAACGGAATCCGAGACCTACCCTCTTCCACCAACAGCCAGATCACATCCAAACAGCTCCGTAACCACTCAGCTAAAGTCTTCTCAGATCTCCACGACTTCCCTGCAGAGTCCTCAGTTCCAAGATCTCTCCTGTCCCAGTTCACAAGCCAGTTCATCATGTGCTGGAAGATCTCGGCATGAGTGACGGGTTTGAGGCTAAACTCAACACCAATCAAGATAATCTTGCAACTGAGCTGACGCAGGCTGTTTATCGCTGCGGCTCTTACGCGTTGGCTACTTCTCAACGCGTTATCTCTTACGGTTTGTCCCGCCATCATCACAGAGCCTGGTTCGTTTCCCGAAGGTGATGGAGAACTAATACCGTGAGCTGAAGGCAACAATGAGGTAGGGATGGTATTGGAAGGCAGAGGAAGTAAAGACTGTGAAGAAGTCGCTGATGAACCAGCCGTTGCTGCTTGTTGAGCAACTTGGGTTAGAGACGCCTCAGCAGCAGAAACCGAAGAGAGAAGGGATGGTAAAAAAGTATCCCAGTTAATGTAACTAATCCTACACAATGTACGCAGAGCAAAGAGGAGAAACTCAGCACGAGGTGCGTGGTTGCTACACTGCAACACCATAGATATCAAAACCGATTCTGTGATTGTCCTCAGCTGATCTGGGTCCTGAATAAGCAGAGCTCGATGTAAGTCAAAAACCAATATTGTTACGAATATCACAAGAGAAGATATATATATAAAGGATGAAGCTTTACACCGAATTGGCTTTGAAGCTGCTCGAAATCCAATATGAATTGCTCATTTCTAGGAGGTAAGTCCCTATTGGGAGCATGAACACGCTTCTGGGATTTGTTCCTGTACACAAAATCAATAGCGTTGAGCTAATTCAAAAACCATATCTTTTTTATTTTTGTCAAATCGATTCAATCGAAGAAGGTAAGAGGATTTTACGGGGGATCTCGTATGGAATCATCGGGCTTTTGGCGACTTCCTCTCTGCAAAAGAGAAAAAAAACAAAAAAAGTGAATTTTCAGCAGCGAAATTCGAGAAAAACACACAATCGAAGAAAAGAGGGAGATGGAGAAAGAGATGAAACCCCTATGTAGAGATTGAAGAGATCGATAATGGCGGCACGCGCAGGATGGAACTGGTACGATCGAGAAGACGAAGGAGCAGCTGCTACTGTGCGCTGCGATTGATCCATTGTCCTCTTAACACTCTGTTTGTTTCTTTTGGTTTCTCTAAATAAAACCTCAAATTGAAAAAAACTGGTAAAGAGGTTTTGGGTTTTTTAAAAACTTATAAAAGAGAGAAAAGTTCAAACCAGAAACAAAGAATACAACAAGCTTCTTCTTCGGCTCGTGTGTTTTACTTTTCTCTATGCATGTTCTGTAAATTTGTTTTTTTTTTTTCTTCAAAACTGTTTAACGTCCAAATTGCTCAAATCCGACAACTTTGTTAATTAGTATCCAATCTGACTTGTTATTACCAAACTCTTTATAATCCAAACTAAAACATTAAGGTGAAAAGAGAAGCTTCCTCAAGAACAATTCACATAAGATGATGATTCACTTGTAATTACACAGAGTCACACAAACCTATTCTTGATTTGCATCAGAGATTTTGTCTGCGGAAATTAAACACATCGAACTCGAAATAAATAGTGTGAATACAGGACAGAAGAATCGAAAGGGAGGAGGGACAAATTGAAGATGATCTTCTTCTTTTTTCTTAGATGGAACAACTTTCTCATTGGTGATCTAAGGGTTCCACTGCAGTCTTGAAAAGAAGAACATAAACCTTGTCGATCTGAAAATATATGAATCCTCCAATGGAATGAGTGACGTATGAACCAAAGCTGGTCCCAACAATGCAATGCCACGCCGGGCCATACGCAGAATCGAAGTCCTGATACGAAAGACAGATGTAAAATGGATTCATGAGTAGAGCAAATAGTAAAGTTTATACATTTGATGCAACATGTTGTTTGACAAAGAGACAAACTCTCAAGTTAAGGGAAATCGAAGAGATAAGAAAACATATGAAAGTCTGTCTCGAGGCAAAACAACTGACTCGTATGTTAATTATAAAAGCTAAGAATGGTAGTGAACCACTGAGACAGAAAGCCACTCTGCTAACAGATAAGAGAACACTGTATAATTTACACTCAGCCACTTTGTGAAACCTCTTTTCTTCCACTTGGATCATTAAAAGTTTGCAGCGTTCAACCCCAAAAGATCTTAGAACTTGTGATAAATAATGCCTCTACCTAATCAAATATGAGGGACTTACACAAATTGTTTAGCACCAAAAAAGTGCTCCTTTTTGGGTCCATAAACCAAAAGCTAACCATTAATGCCCTCTTAAGTAGGAACAATTTCCTCAGATTTCAAAGTGTTGGCCATTAAAACCTTTCGTGTACAACTGTATGCAAAAGCTACATAAAAAGTACAATTCTATATATGGGGTAGTAATAATGCCAGACCGGTCTATCAGAAGACAACCGAATCCTTTGTATAAGTTTCTATTTAGGTAATGCTCATTTCCTAAAGCAAAAATGCTTCAGACTTGTATTATTCAGGTAGCATCTAAAGTCTATTAGCACAGATAAAGAAGCTTCAACAAAATCCACAAGTCATTACCTAATTCAGGTCAAGAAACCATCCCAATAAGCAACAAGGACATTCAGGTTCAAGACTTATCACAATGAGATTCATACCGAAGTTATCATCGCAATACAAAAACGACCAAGTCGAGTAGACTTAAACAGAATCTACACAACAATGAAAGCAAAAAACAGATATGGGACTATCTATGAAGCTCGATAATATGCAAAAGTACGCAAAGCGAAAATCCAAATCCCACATTCATTCGTGCAAGTACGCACATCTACAAATCAAGCAAGATCGATAAGACAATATCCCTATGGACCCAAAAGTAACACACTGCTTGATTCTGCCTCAAATACTCAAGACTTACTCCACATTACTTCAGTGATGCGACAAAAAAAGACTCGATTTTTAAGGCGATAAACAGAGAAATCAGGAGAGAGAGAGAGAGAGAAGGAAAAGGATCTACCTTTTTAAGGGCGAGAGCGAGCCGTTTGTTGTCGGCCTTACCAGGAGTGGCATTCAAGAGCTCACGGGACAAACTGAAGGCCCTGTTCTGCAGAGCGAGAGGCATATCGGAAGCCCTAACTCGAACATTGAACTCGTCTTTCTGATCCTGCTGCTCTTTAGCCTTCTTCTTCTGTATCAAGCTGTTCAAGAACTTGCTTCTTCTCTCTAGTTCCAGCTCAACTCCTTCCATCTCTCTCTCTCTCTCTCTCTCTCTCTCTCTCTCCCTCTCTCTCACATCACTCGGCTAAGCCCTCGGTTTCGCTTTTTTCCCCCTCCTTGTAATCGGAGAAAACCCTAGTTAGTTCGTGAGCTGTTCCAGAGTGATGAGCACCATCTGTTTGACTAAATGTCTGGGAGAGAAGAAAAAAGGAATGATTTTTGAGATACCCGGATTGGGAGGTAAAGGCCTAGACGAGACAAAATAGCGTTCTTTGTGTTATTAGCGGAAAGCATCAGACAAATTCGTAATTCTACACACCTTTTAGTTTGGTCTTTGGTCATATCAATTCATTATTACTCTTTTGCTGCCCTTTCTTCCTTTTCTCCTACTCCTTATCATTAAAAACTTGGTCAAGTAATTACTTTATTATTACTTTTATTTTTATTTGCCAAGCGGTTTAATTAGTTTATGATCCATTATTAAAATAGAAACAAGACAATAAACACTACTTGTTGATGTTTGATAAACTGGAAGAAGAAGAAGAATATTTGTGTATATTTCTATAAAAGTTAAAAAAATCCTATAAAAATCCTCCTCCTCTCAATCACTCAATAACAAGCCTTCGAGGTCCCTTATCATTGACCCTTGTGTTGAAACCATGTCAACTTGCTAATACTTGGAAAATAATTATCAAATCGCACGTTCTGCTTGCTAATACTTAGTTTTCTTTGATTTTCACCATTTCTGCATTAAGATGCAAACAAACGGTACCAAAATACTTTGTATATCCTAATGTTGCGGTAGGATTGGTCGTCCTAAAAATTTCTCAATAATCCGGTGAAAGATATAGTTCATCAAATGCATTAGATCGGGAAATTATAACACGGAACTATACGATATAATTGCAAAGGGTTTTATCTCGCCTTGGATACCAGCTTTCTTTCGTTGCGTCCAAAAAAAAAGAAACGAATATAACATTGCCATCACGTGGGTTTTCCATCCAATATACAAAATATTTTGGGTGCAACAAACAAAATTATTGAATTAATAAATTGAAATAAACTTTTTATAATAAGTCAAAATGAAAACAAATATATGTGCCAGCAGAATAAAAACATCAGGATAAAATCAAAAACCCCTTATTTTGTTATTTAAGTTCTCCCTTTGCGATGCTCGAATTTCCCCTCTAGGATGTCCTGAAAGGCTCACCACACCAATTTGTTAAAATAATTGGTTTATTCCACTTAACAAAGAGCATACATTATCAAATCACCAAAGATGATATCCAAGACACATGATCCCTCAGATCACAAGAACAAGCTTTTGAATTTGCCTAATTACAGAGAACACAACTCTCTACAATCTTCAATTGATCTCAGACTTTCTCTCGATCTGAATGATTTGCTAGAGAAAGTAAAGACTACTTATACAAATGCAATAAGTTTACTCGACTTTCAAACTACGTAAGCAGTCAATAGTCCACTTGTCCAACTCAGCAATCTACCTCTTATAAATTACGGTCATAATCTACCTCTTATAAATTACGGTCATGTTAGATTTGAAGAATTAAACAACAATTAAAGAGATTCCTAAAAAATATGTCATCTCCATTCAAGTAAGTTCATCAAACATCATTAATTTGTCATTAGGTTGATTGATGATTTTGTGGGAATAACATTTTTAATTCATCATTAGGTTGATTGATGATTTTGTGAGAAAAAATATAAGAAATGTAATGTTTTGAACTACTTTGGTACAATAGTATTTATTATAGTAAACATTCTATTAATTGACTTATTATTATTATACATTTCAATTTTTTATGAAATAAAATTATATTTTTATGGTCTACAATATCAATTAACCTTAGCACCATTTCAAAAATAAGAAAAATATATTATCATTTGCATTTTCAGAAAAAAATAAGATAAACAGTTAAAGACTTTTTATCGACAATCTTTGATATTAAATACCGTTTTGCTTATTGCAACTTTATGTAATAATAATTTTAAAACAAAAATTTTAAACCTTCTTAACCATAGTAACCAATATAAATCTCCTAAAAATTTAAACAAAATTAACCTCTAAAACTTTAACCATAACAACAACAAAAAAACATCTTAAAAGTTTTAAACCCACATCTCTAGCATCCGATAGCACTTAGTGGTGTCTATATTTCTCCTACAACTTCCCACTTCTCTAAAATCTGGTAACACTTAGTGATACTTATATTTTTTCTTCTCATCCACCGTCGTCGGTGCAGTCTTGATAAAATACATATATTCTTTGCAACAACATCCTTTTAAAGATGTCAAGTTATGTATATTATATACAATGCCGTCCCATACAATTACAATTATGTGGCTTAAAGCATATAATAATAAAATTATCATAAAAATAAGAAATTTAAAATAATAATATAATACTTCCTATGTTTTTAAAAGGTTGATATTTTAGATTTTGTTTTTATTTTTGAAAGATTGATGTTTTGCACTTTAATCAATGCATTTAATTTTACAAGATAAATTAAAAACAAACTATTGATTAATTTGTATTGAAAACCAAAAAAGTAACTAAAAGTATAAATATAAATAACTAATAAAGTAAATAATTATTGTATCTAAATATGTGTAAAAGATGTTAAACATCAATCTTAAAAAAACGGAGAGAGTAAAATGATCAAAAATGTAGAAATATATTAAAAATAATAGCAAAAAGTCATAATATAGAACAAACTTCTAATTATAAAAAATCTGATCTTTAAACTTTTTCTTAACGAATTCATTAATAATCAATTTTTTTAACCATATCTTTTTCAACAGATATCATTGATAATTTATTCAATCTCTCTAGTGTTTAGAAATATTTAGATTGTCAAAATCAAAACTTAAATTTTCTGAATCAGATATAGATACAAGTTAATGACAAAATTTGAAAGATTTAGTGATAAAATTTGATGATAAGAAGAATTCAAAGATATGACAATAGTCAGCAAGATTTTTTTTTTCTACATCAAGGAAGGTCAAGAGATTTTCTTCTAATTTTATTGCTAAACAGAAAAGAAAACTAAAATTCTGATAAAAAAAGAAAAGAAAAAAACGAAAATTAAACATTGAGAGCACTCAAACTAGAGATTTAAGAGAGAAAGTTTTCATACTTAACCATCTAAGCTTAACAATTTTTGAAAATGTGGCATAAATGTTTTTTTTTAAAATTATGTGGCTTAAAGTCAATGCCTTACCAGCTTTAATGCAGGGATAGGTCTGATTATATATTTAAACTCTTGAAATTTTACTGTGATTGCGATAATAATTAACAAGAATTTAGTGTTTTTTGACGTTCAGAAAAAAAAAAAGTTGCATTTCAACTACATTTTGTTTCCAAATTTAAGACAGACCTTAGTGTTTACACAACTATGTTTGGTGACCATTTCTGAATTTCTTTTCGTCGTCAAAATTTTGTGTCGAAAAGACCTTAGACTAGCGTAGCGAGTATTTATTAGCATCCCCTTTTTGGGATTGGAACTCAAGAATGGGCCGAGAAGTAACCAAGAAGGCCCAACAGAGGTGCATTGATATAAGTCGTGGGCTCAGTCAGCTGGAAGTAAGGCCGCGAATCGGGAAAATCGTCAGTGACATTGGGCCCACCAACGACGGCACCAATCAGCAAGTTAGGGTTAGGGTTCGGGCTAAGAAAATAGCGAGAACCGTCTTTGCACCCTATGCGACCAGGATGGTCCACGACCGAAGGAACAGAGCTGCCACGATGGTGAATCCTCTGTGGAAACCTCGAACCGTACCCAACCATGTACGACATTTTCATCGGATTATCTCCTAGTATGTAGTCCACCTTGATTAACGTACGCCCCAAACAACAAAAATACTTATTAATGTCTCAATGGTGAAACAGGACAATGTTAAAATGTAACTGTTAGTTAGTTAGTTACCTGACGCTTGGCCACTTGACGGAGAAGAGCAGGAGAAGCTGTGAATTCGCCACATGGCACCACCTTGTTGGCGTGACTTAGGTAATTAGCATATGTTATTAACAGAAACGACAAAGATGTTACATGCTGCATATTACTCCCTCCACTCTTCACTAATAATCCTCCTGCTTGTTAAAATTACCCGATAAATTGATGAGTACAAATAAAATCGTAATTCAACTCTTAATTTGTTAAAAAAAAAATTACCTAGTGAGTACTCGACTTGAGAATGAGAAACTCCAGGCAATAAAGAACAGATAAACTCATCAGCGTTTTGCTTAAAACTCTGAAAATAATCGGCTTTTCCCATTAGTACCATTTTGGAGATTAAGACATTAATCCCAGCATGTTTGTTATCCCAACCAAACTCGTGAATCGTATCTTCAGCTTTTAGAATCTCTTTGTTCTTTACGATGAACTCTCTGTAAACTCGTTTCTTCGAAGCTTTGTGTAGCCATGCTGCTCCCCAAAGCAACTCGTCCTGTACACAGCACCAATCTCTCAAAGTCATCATCTAAACGTTTAAGTCCCTTTTATATTTTGAGACCTAAATGTGGTAAAAAAAAACCTTTGGTTACCTCGTAACCGTTGAAATCGCAGTAAAAAGGACACACTGCTTCGTAAAGACTATCACTGTACGCTCCTCTAAACTTATTGGCGAACGCAAACACCTGCGTCCATTTTACAATTACTTAATAATACTTTGATGTCAATAAAGAAAGTCAAATTAATAAATGTTAAAATAAAATAAAAAAGAAAGTCAAATTTTGTGTTTCTTAAGGTCAATATTTTAGGAAAAGTGAAGTGCTTCGTAATTCATACTAGTGTAAATTGCATGTTGGTCAAAAATTAATGCATGTGAAACCAAAAATGTACGGAAAGACATTATTAGAAAACACAAAAGAGAATATTTGTCACGCAAGCAAAGTCTAACTAATTTGTTAATCTTTTTGACAAATCACGATTTTTTTTCTTTCTTTCGTTTTAAAAAAGAGGAAACTATTAAAGAACGTTAAAGTAATTAAAAGTACCCTTGCTGCTCGGT